ATTTAAGAAACTATATCAAAGCTAAAATAAAAATTAATATAGAAAGAACAAACGTTGTTACAAAATAATTGAAAGTAATTTAAAAAAGTATGGAAGTTATCTGATTTCTTTATTTTACGAAATTCGAATTGTATATAAAACTATTTTATTTTATAATACATAACGTGAAATTTACAGATAACTTCTATTATAATTTTATTATAATAGAATAATTATAACATTTTTTCAAATCAAATAATATAATTAATAATAATTATGATTTTTATTTAAACTTTTATATAGAGTTTTTTTATTACAAAAAGACAATTAATAAAAAAATATATATATATTTTCACTAATCAAATAAATGTGATAAAATATTATATAGATTAAATAAGTTTTATATTATACAAAAGAAATTTTTATTTTAAAGGTCTTTGATTTTAAACATTTAATGTTGCCTGCTCTTCTTTCTTGAAAAGTTTTGTAGACTTAACTGTTTGTATCCTTTTTGTTTGTACTTTTCAATTATATGTATAAAGAATCAGCTTAATGTCATTACAAGTTTATATTAATCAGCTCAAGACAAAAAGCAAATTAATACTACGATTGAAGCGTGAACATTTCAATTATGATATTTTGAGTAAAAAGTGCCATTATTATGCATATCAATAAAGTGTCAAATAATGCATATTGCATCTAGGGTGTTCAATAAAAAGATTGTAATGCTTGACAACAGAGTCAAATCAATAAAAGAACACATCGTCGATAAGAGGACAATAAATGTATTTGGTTCATTATTAATTTTAAGACAATCAAATATGTAGGTTGACATCCATAGCTCATATAATTATAGTAATTTATTAATAATTATTAATTGTATTACTGCAATATGCTAATATTTTTCTTGGTAATTATATTTAGTCATAGTAATCACATTTAGTCATATTATAAAAGTGCACAAATATTATGCATTATATCATCTCAAATTCCGTTTAATTCTTTTTTTGTCATTTATCGTTACAATATAAGATTTCTAATAGTACCTATCGACTGTCCTAACACTAATAATTTATAATAACGTATTGCTTATCTTTATATCCGATATGATTATATATTTACGAAACTTCGTATTCTGTTCTACATTTTCCATTAATTTACGATCAATGTGACAAATTAATTAACGAAGCATGCTTCAATATTACATTTAATAGAAAGTTTATTGGGAACTTGAGTTGCCTAAGTGAAATTTCTTGAAAATTAATACATTCATAACGTAGTTCTATGAATAACATACATATTCATACACTGATAGAGAAGACAGTACGCTTGTAATAAAGTTTTGCAAATTTCTTTATAAAAATACATAAATATAGCTTGTGAAAAAAAATTAGTGTTAAATAATATGAAGATATTACATTAAATGTTATTTATTTATAATTTTCTTTTATTACAATAATTTAATTTTGAGAAAGGAAATAAAAGAGAAAGAGAGAGATTCAATTAGCAATTTTTTGTAATTTTAGAAAAGTATATGTATTTGTTTTTCCAATAAATAAATAAACGAGAAAGACTCTATTTTTATATTCGACAAGGTTTGGCTAATGTCGTGACAATTTGACCATTGGTTTTGGTGAATTTAAAAAAAAAGACCAAAACCCATGGTCGAAAAAGTCTTGACGATTAATCTGACCAAAACCAATGGTCGAATTGTCACGATATTAGCCAAACGTTGTCGAATATAAAAATAGAGTCTTTCTCGTTTTTGTAATTTATTATCATGTTTTAAGAAAATATATATTTCTTGCGACAGAATTTTAATTATCATTTTAATACATGAAAAAATAAATATCATATTGTTGTGTGTGTAATTAGTTGGAAAGAAAGGATTTATATTCCTGTAGCATCACTTTTTTTATAATGACATGTCCTCGTTAGAAAATTTTTCTATCTTGATATTTTTTCTATCTCGTCTTGACATTTTTCCATTATAAATATGATACAAGGTGAAATAATATATTTTTATCTTAATTCTTGGCGGTAATATTTGGAGTTGTTACGTGAAGTCGATTATATTCAAGAAAATATGTTTGAAAACGAAAAGTTTATTTCGCGATCGATACAATACAATTAAATAAGCAAATTTTATTGATTTTTTATCTATTTTAAATGTATATTTACTACACCAAACACGTATTTATCTCCGCGGTGTAAAAAAGTTAAAAATTTTAACCTACGTATTTTTACGTGTGTTACAATTTTGCGATAACGTAAGATAATGTGCAACTAAAATGTATGTACGCACGTGCCTACGTAAAGTGATTATTACATTGCAAATATTTCATTATAATAATATGCTACTTCTCTCGTGTCTATATTTGGCATATGGTTACAACATTACAATGTTGTGTACTAAGTAAACATGCAACACGTTCGTACATAACACACAAGCAATATGAATTCTCGCGCTATTCATATAACAGCAAGAGTTATAACAATAATTTCATGCACTATATTGTCCGACAGTAACAAAAGATTAAAAAAAAATTTTTATTATCTAGAGCATTCTTTTGTCTTTAATAACAATATAACATTTTTTTATCTCTCTACTCTGATTAATTAATCCTCATCTAATTTTATTATATGCGTCTGCAAAATTTCCTTTCAAGTTTAATATCTTTTAGCTGTTTATATTACTGCATTGAGAAAAAGTAGATTTAATTACTAATATTATCTTCTCTAATAGAAGACAATTAAAACTGCTTTTCGAGATATTATAATTAATGATGTTGAAATTTATTCTCGAAAATTTAAGTCAATATTGCGAAGATAAAGGAACGTTCTCTATGTGAATTTCCTATTGTACTTGTGCAAATTAATATAATTTAATGCAAGAAAAATTACCGTTTTATTAGCAGATATCGTTAATTATTTTTAATTGTAATTTATATGTCACATATTGGGTTGGCAAATAAGTTCGTTCGGTTTTTTGACTGGTTTTGACTGGAAAAAACCGAACGAACTTATTTGCCAACAGATTTTATTAATCCTATTTTCAGCTTTTTCATATTTTATTATAATGTATATTAACTTTTTTACAATTAATTTTATATCTGTAATATTATGTAATATAAATATAAGAGATTATTGTTTATTATATAAAAATCCAATACTTTTTTAAAGATACAAATTACATCAAGTTAATTTATATGATTATAAATACGATTTTGTATATATATAATTTGGTTCTATCTTTATAAAAATCTGATTTTCAAAACTTTCATAATAATATTTGAAATAAAATATAATAATAGTCATAAATGACATATTTTCATAAAAAGAGATAACTAATTTCAACATCGTGTCGGATATATTATTTCTGAGAAGCAAATGTCATAAATGTCGAGATTCTAAAATACATTGAATGAATCTTTCTATTTATAGATCAATAACATGAAAAATAGCTCTTAATATAACAGCCTCGGTATAATATCATATTGATAGAAGTTTTTATATTATAAAAAAGTTATACATTAATTGATTCTGTTCTTATATTACCACTATAAAGAGATCTCAGCGGAATTGGTTGCTAAGAGAAACACGTAACGAATCGTTATCCTTTACTCCTACGTTTTTCTCGCGAGTTTCGACAGAACAGGTATAACTCTTTTAAATACATAAAATACTAATACAGTGATGGATAAAAAGAGACACTTTGAAATAACAAGTTATGTGATGTTAAAAGATAAAAAATATATTTTATACCATTAAAAGCGTAATATATCTCGTATATTAATAATATGTACATAAATAAATTTTAAAGTTTATGCTCAAATAAACATACAATTTCTTTCAAATTTTTAAGTATGTAAAAGAAGAATTGCAAAAAACAAATCATTCATTTTGGATAAATGTGAAAATGTATACTAGGAAAGATTATAATCTTTCCGAAAGATTATATGTATGTGACAGATTAAAGTCTTGTGAAATACCGACTGTTTGAAATTAAGCTATAAAATTGACATTTCTATTTAACATTACGTTTTAAAACATGAAAATATCAGGCTATTTGTCATCTCTGAAATTATTGCAGACACGAAAAATCAATAAAAGTTATGCGATGATAATTGCTCAACTTCTATATTTCGTACATTTTGTTGATATTCTTTATAACTCGATAATGCAATTTTATGGTCTAGTTGCTTCACGGTATTCTCGTGCCTGGATAAGTTCAACCAATTAACACGTTGAATGTCGGACCTACATAATTCGCTTGTTCCTCCGTCGATGCCGGAGTGAAATTTTCCCCATTATTAGATCCATATCTTGATAAGATATTATATTATGTAATTAAGTTATGCATAATTACCATGTTTAGTGTATTTATTACTTTAGAATATTACTTTAATATTGATTATATTTACAGAACTACCACAAATGTTACTTTTTACGAGTTTGATATGCATTTTGAGTTTGGTAGCCCCGGTCCTGGTGCGATAAGCACATTTAGGGCCGATTGTTCCAACCTATTGATAAGCTAACTAATAGTTAAATCATATGTCTATCTTTGTTTAATGTAAAGGATAAACAAAGACATATATATGATTTAACTATTAGTTTACCAATAGGTTGGAACAAAACCGGCCCTTAATATGTTAATATTATTGGCTAATATAAATATATAATCGGAAGCTGAATTATTCTCTGAGGTTGCCATGCATAGCATGTTTAATGAGATAGTTAATAAAAATTTAAAAGCAGGAAAGAAAACAGTGTCTAATAAAACATTTATTGAGAAAAAATATTGATTCAGCGCTATTAAAAGGAAATCTGAACTTATTTCTTCTAGATTTTTTATTTTATATTACGTACATATTTTCTCTTTTCAAAACAGTAAGGAAGTCTCTCAACCTTAACTTGACATTTGTATATTTTCATTTGCTCCTTTTTCGTGCTATTTATCCGCATTCGTATATTTAGCTTCAATTTACCAAGGGTAGAAGAATCGTGAAAAAACTTACCTAGCGTCCTAATTAAGTTTTATACGCATAACATTGCGTTCATTTTGTCTCGACCTTTCCTTTACCGTATCACAAACATGTTTACGTAAAATATTTTATGTGTAATGCGTTCACTTTTAAAATATGCTCTCTTTAATCACTGTAATACTGCAAACGGAGAAGCACTATATACAACGTTCGGTTAAGTATTCCGATAAAACTGCGCTCATTATCCCCGGCCGCTCTTATCTGAAAGTAAATGTACACGTGGATTCGCTACACATAGGCCATCGTGCTAATCGTTCTACGCCGGAACTCGCACTCGAAATTAATATACGTCTATACATCGAAAAAATACCTGAAGCTTTTTAAAGCTAAAAAGCAGCTATTTATATCATATCATTTAAACAGATATGACATGACTCACATAAAGATTTCCGGGATAAACGAATACACGTAATATGTAAAGATAAAATAAAAATTTATTCATAAATTACAAAATAATTGTACTTGTTGGATGCTTAAATTAAAATAAAATGTATTTTGTTGAAGAAGCCAGCTTGACAAAAAATCGATAGAAAAGTTGCTATAAAAATTAGTTTTTAAATAAAGATTTTATTAAATTTTAAAATAATTATTATAATAAAACTAAATAATTATGTTCTTAATTTTATTTGTACGAATGCTTGTTAGTTTCAATTCAATACAATTTAGTATTATTAAGACATATATAGTATTAATAAGACAAACGAGAGTTTTATGTTGAAGGATAATAATGAGTTTTTGCAATACCGTCTTTCAGATACCGTAACCGTGTCTGAATTGTTCAGATACATTCACTATGTATATAGCTGAACAATTCGAGATACGGTTATTGTATCTGAAAGACGGTATTGCAAAAACTCCCTAATCTTAATGAATTCGCTTTTATCTCTTACGTTAATATTGTGCTATTATTATAACTGCATATATATATAAAGAATGCGTTTGTTTCTTACCCCACTCACGTATTACCCCACTACAATACGGTATCATACACAAATGTCTTAGCAAAGGTATTTTAATAAAAAGTACGTAAATATACATTTAACTTAAAGATTTAGTGGTAAAAACGTAATAAAAAATGATGTCTAGAAAATTTTGGATCTAGATTGTATATACCATAAGTAGAGCAAGAAACATTTGAATTTATCGAATGGCATTTTGTACAAGCTCTTCTAAGCCGGCTGCGTCGCCATTATCGATCGTTCCCATTTGGTTACAGCTGCAATGCTTTTTTCACAGCGGATAAAGTAGTACTTGAGTTACTAAAAACAATATCTTATTATTATTTTAACAACGACATTAATAACGTATTATTACTAATAGATATAATGTTATTTTATAGATTGTCTAATTAAATATCAATATCTGTAAACAAAAAAATTCGAAAAATATTTTATTATCTGACTAATGTATATATTTTGTTTATGTATATATTTTATTATGTTGAAATGCAATAATATTTATTCTTTTGTTATTTATACTTAACTTCATTAATAATAATTTATAGAAACCTAAATATTCTTCAAGTTTTCTTCTTAGTCAGAGATACATCCTACAGGTGGCAACATTAACTATTCCTAAGATTTCCTGTATTAATGATTAATCCGAATAGTCATATACACCTTCATACACATATTCTTAAGTGGTAAAAATTTCAGAAAAAGTTAAAGCAAGACACAATCTAATTTAAAAATGATAAAAAGAATAAGAATTACAGACGTATACATGTATAATATAGATTGAGCAAGATTAAAAAAGCTAAAGCTAATTTTTAATTTATATTTTTTAATTAAAAAAGATCAAAGATTCTTCACACATTAAAATATTAAATCATTAGACAATTTTTTTTTCTTAATTGTGAAGTAGTTTTTTTATTAAGTTGGAACTCTGATGAAACAGTTTTTTTTATGAAAATGCTAATATTTTATTAGGTTGATTTAATTGGGGTAATACCCAATGTATAAATATAAAAACAGTTGTATTTTGTTTGTGTTTATATAATAGCTTTATATTTTATTTTACAATAAAATAATGCGAAGCCATACACAAGTTTAAAAATTATTTTTTACGGAAAAAATACTTTTTTGTTATATGTATTAAGCGCGAGAGATCTAATTTTAATTAACTAGCATGCAAGGGAAACCAGTGTAATTTTAGGATATTAAATTTATTGTGTATTTATATAAGAACTTAATAATTATCGATATTATTTCGTAATTTTCCTTTTTGCAGATAATAAGCTAATAAAGAGCTAATGAATCTGTTTCAGATAACATGGAAATCAAAATATCTACTTGGTGTTAAATTCGATAAACTCTTATAACATGTCTTAGCTTTAAAAATTAATTGAATAAAAATATTTTTAATGTACTTGATGTTTTTTCTATATTTTATTTTACACAATAAAAAAATGCAAAGCCATACACAAGAGTTATTATAAAAAAGTATTTAAAACTTTTAAATACTTAAAATTAGCTTTTGGAAAGAAAGATTATCATAAATAATTGAGGTATTATATTGAATGCATTAAATAAGTTTGATATCCTGGAAATGTATTAATTTCCTTCGTTAGTTAATTAAAATACCAAATTTTTTAACAAATCTTTCCTCTTGTTTTATTTTTTGTGAGAATATGTCTAATTAACTGCATGAGTATAAAATAGTTATTTATTTAGTTTTGTTATTAGTACATATATTTCGTTCATGTGCGTCTGTACGTATGTTCATGTATATGACCCTTTTGGAATTGTAGTTATGAACAGCTCTGGTGAACAGATTTTTCTACGCAAAATGTTTTTACTCAATGCAAGATACAATTTATTGTACATTCTACGCTTTTAACGTAAATTCAGTTTTATTCGGCATTGTAAATGTTGCATTATTTAAATATTATTTTCTTGCGTTCTATTATTCTCTTACTTTTACTTTCTTGTATTATTTTATAAAATGCAGCGCACACAATAAATTTTATATACTGGCATACAGATTACATAACGTGTTTTTATTAACTTGGATTTTATTGTCAATGACAATAAATGATAATTTTTCAAAACTCGGGCACGTGATACGTAGTAATATGGCACGTAAACTTGTGGCTGCATTTATATACGTAAAACTCGATAAACTATTTGTTGCACCTGGTTATAAATTAGAGTTAAGGGGCTGGATAAAAATGTGTTTTTTAACGAAACGAGTTATATCTATTGTCAAATTTATTTCCATCAGATTTAAGCGAAATGCCTAGATATTTTTATATATATTATGGTGCTCTACACTTGTTAAATAGTCTCAAAAAAATAGAATATCTTAATAAGAATAATGGAGAAAATCCACAAAAATAATTGATGAAGATTAATGAGATCATACTATAATTTTTATATTTTTGACAATATTGAATAAATATTCATTTGATTTGTTTACTGTAATATATTACTCTTTTAGCATCGATAATACTATTGCAGAAAATTAGAAAATAATTGAAAACTAATTTGTAATTCTCAAAGAGGTAAAGCGTTGAAATATTTAAGCAATCGTTACTAAAACAAAGAAACTGCAGGTTGCCGATTGAATATCGCAGGTTAAGTGCGCGATCCTATGATTGTATATACCGTGTACCGTATAAAATTGTACGCAGCGCGTTGAAACGGTATCTATTTACATGAACGCTTTACCATTTTCGCGATCCTTCGTCCAACTAGTTTCTCGATATGCCCGAGGATACGTGACCATTTTATTCTCTCCCACACCTCTTTTTCGTCGTATATTATAACGCTTTGAAGCCTCCGAAAACTAGGATAGCAAAATGATTGCGTTCTCTGCATCACGGTACGTTTTATGCAATAGATGTATCTTTTACGAACAAAACTATATATATATATATATATATATAGACAAAACGTACATTTTAAATCGTTAATCATTAAGTTGCCTTACAATATTTCTTTCAAAAATAGTTAAAAAAAAATTTTATTATATTATCCAATTTTTTACTTCTCAACATTATATCAACACTACTTTACTTTTATCATTCACATCATCACGAGTCATAACTGACTTTAACTAGAAACATTTAAAAACATAGCATGCTCTTTATCGATGATCAGTTAGACATTTAACGCCTTTCATAACTTAACTTTTAAGTTCTATGAAAATAAATTGCGAATTAAGCTGCATTAGTAAGCCTCGTTTTTTACTTTGCTTTCTTAACTGTAAGGTACTGTGATATCAGAAATGAGAAATCTTTCGTACTAATTTTTCTGAAGACAATTCTTTGTTGAAGAATAGATAACAATTATGGAAATTGAAGTATTGTTTGCTATTGTTGTCGCAGGTTTACATATGCATCTGTTTGATTGCATCTGTTTGATTGCTCAATATTTAGTTAATACAAATTGCATCAATAAATTAAATACTTTGTCGATATCGAATGACTTTCAATTGAAACACAGTACATTCGTAAATTTAAATCGTAAAACATTTCTATTCGTAAATTTGTCTTGCAAATTGTTTGCTATTTTTATTTGAAAAGTTAATAACACCATTAAAATTACAGTGAAAATAAGTGCAAAGTAAAAATAAAAGTGCCTTTGTCAAGAAGACAACGTTATATAACATTTTAATATATTAGTTGCTTTTAAAAGGTTAATTATATGGCCGTTTCAATAAATAATCATAAGACTATTAATAATTATTTTGTACTCTTTGGCAATGATAAAAATTATACTTAGAAAATGTTTTCAAGAGACTTATTTTATTTAATTATCTATTTATTTAATCAAAATTTTCAATATTTAGTATTCGAATAGTGTGTGAAATTAGTTTTTATTTTAAATTTTTATTGAAAAAGACATCGTCAACGCGTATTTAGAGACTATAATATTACGTCTGTAAAAATTTTACACACAGTAATAATCCAATCTATTTTAAATTAAATACCTATCCAAATAAGAACGTTCGATTTGATGCGTAATATCTAATTGTCAGATCCAAGTGATACATTTTATACTGATTTATTTTCGAGATGAACTTTATAAAGTGCTATTATACGCCGGGCACAGTATCTGACACATACGAATTGATATTTTAATAGTCCGACTTTTTGTCACTTTAAACTATGAGCGAAACTAAAGTGTAAGTTTTCATGGTTAAAGCAAATAATAGAGTACCGCTATATACATGTATGGACATATATAGTTCTTCCTAGTTTAGGTCATATAGTCTCGAGACCTAAAGAAGCCGAAGTAAACAGGACGTTCTTCCAAGAAAGAAATCTCTGCGTAAAATCTTTATTGTTGTAACTTTTTTGCTTTTACTGACAACAAGCTAATCATAAGGTACCTAATTAAATACTTGTGAAAGGTACTACATACACTCGCGTAAAAATGTAAGAAACACATAAAAGATTTTATATTTTTTAAACTTTGATTGGAAAGGACATCAGTAATTGTAAATAAACAAACTAATCATTGTGTGAAAAATACAGATCTGGAAAACATTATACACAAGCATAAAAATAGAACATGCAAAGAAAACTATTTGCTACAAAAAATAAATGTAAGAAAATATATTTAATCCCTAATTATATCATGAGACTATAGTGAATTAAATTAAGAAATTAATTTGTATTCTGTAAATTTTAATGTAAGATATTACAATATTAACTTTATTTATAAAATTACAGAAGTTTTTTAATTTAAGTGAAAGAATATGATTTTTTAAAGAATGTGGAACGAGAATCTCCGAGACCAATCGTTTACAGAAAATATGAAACAGGGTATAAATTAAAAATTCAATTATAAATTGATCAGTTGCATAAAGAAGCATGCTTCTACATAGTGAATATTTTACCTCATGTTTTCCTACGTAAAACAGATTTTATAAATGATTGGAAGCAATAACACATTTAATACGGTTTATCCCGTATAATCTCTTTGTTAAAATAGCTTAGGAAAGAATTTACAAGAGAAAATACTATGAAAAGGAAAAAGAATAAAAATACTGGGAACAAAATGTTTGTTATTACAGCTTAAAGTTTAATATGCATGATTAATATGCATTATTCCACATTTCATAATTTCTTTAACTTTCTGATGAAATGCCCCCCGCCTCAAGTTTACAAAATATTTATATACATAAAAACAACTAACAGAAGTAATTAATTTAGAGGAGTGTTCTCTGCTGAAAATATAAAGTATATAGCGTGCAAATCCAATAAGAAAGGCTTTTTAATCTCATTCCATTTTTCTTCATTTTCCAGTTAATCTATATGTATACATACATATATATATATAAGTAACAAAATTACGTCAAAATGATTTTTAAAGAATAATTGACGCATATATTGTTTTCTAGGTGTAATAAAAAAATCATCATATATTATGTCCGCCGATAAATTTAAATTTAAACTTTAATAAATTTTCAACGTTTTGTAGAAAGCTTATTTGTATTTTGCATCTTTTCCTGAAACACAAGAATTTAGAGAGGTTATTTATTATATAAAACAATTCTTTTATGACATTAATCAACGTTAATCTTACGATACATACTCGTTAATTAATAGTTTACACGATGATATAGAAGAAAAACGCTACTGTTGCTGTTGTGTTTTTTTTTTGTAATTACAGAGGCTTTGATGAATTTAAAGTTATGCGTTTATTAGCGAAAATTTAATAGCTCTTCTAATTATTGATTTATTCGGAATTAAAGCAAATTATACATGCTGCAGACACGTAAATCGATGATAACATTTAATTTTTCAGTTAATTTTAAAACGGATGTTATTCGCTCGTTATTCACTTGAGCATATGTCGTAAACGTAACTCAAAGTATGGAAAAGTTTGTTCAAACTTGTTGCCCTTTGACTTTTCACACGTGATAAATCTGAGGTGAGACGTACGTTAATGCACGTTAATATACTGCGTTCTCAATTTCTCGACGTTTTGCTTTCATGGCAAGGTCTCGCAAGTTGGGTAAATAGCACATTATGGTTTGTTTCATATTTAAGAGAACCAGCATTTGCATACACAAACGTCGCTAAATAACATCTCTTTCAGAAAATATAACTTGTTTCCTGGGCAATGGATATTATATTTTTGAAATAAAATGTTAATGAATTGTATAAAAAAAGTCTCTTCAAATTGCTTTAAAGATATTATATAAAATCTTTCGAACTATCCAAATAATTTAAATAAACATGCATTAAACTATTTTCTCAAATAATATTTGTCCGTCTCTTTGTGTGTTTCTTGCAAATATTCTATCACAACAATTATTAAGAAAGAATTTTATTTATATCGTAAAAGTTGGCGTAATAAAAACCATCATTCCGCGTTAACTATCTTTTTATTTCATTGATTGATACTATGATGATTGTGCGAATAGCATGTTCTTATTAACTTTTAATAGACTATATCGTTATTGGAACATCACAAAGTATAGGTACACAACGTCTTACGATTACACGCCGCTCAGGCACCATGCCACAGCTAAAATGCCTTGTTTGTTTTATGCCCGCTTCTATCTGACCAAACGGCCGTAACGATCCGCAAATAACTCACCGAAATCCTTTTACTTTTTACTCAAACTAGACTAATACACTTTAGTTGTTGCATTCTCTTTAGTTATCGTTTCTCAAACAAGTTATTGTAATAGAAAGAATAATAAAAATAATTTTACATTTTTTATGATATAACTACGTGCATTTGACAAAATGTTAAAGTTTGATTAATTGTAAAATTGCAAACATTGTGATAATTAATTGTCAATTTACAATATGATAAAGCGCTTAATATGTATGGTAGTCTGAAGCTACCAGTTCTCTTGTGCATGAGCACACATAATCATATTTGTTCAAGTTGATAAATACATACAAATTGTAAAATACATACATACACACCAAAGGCAATATATATTTAAAATAAAATTCCGATACAAGTACACTACAATGTACACAGATAGTTTACGTCAACTTGTTAAACAACATTGACCATTCTTGTGCAGAAGAATCGATTTAATTTACCAAGACACGTGTTAGAGCTTAGCATGTGTTTTAGCAAATTGATTCCAAGTCCAATTGAATTGATTCCAAGTCCAATTTTAATAAAACTATTTTAACTCAACTAATACTTTAATTTTTAAATCTGCATATTCCATTTAATTATTATTTTCAATTTTTGACGGAAAATGGATATTGAAATCTACGCCAATCAATTACGCAAACTCTATTATTGATCGATCTCACTTATTAAAACTCATGGATACTCTCTGACGTGAAAAATAAATATAGCCAATGGAAAAAGACCAATTCGCAAAAAAAGAAACGTACCTACGCATGGTTTGCCTTCACGTCCTCTCGCTTCTATTCTTGTCTATTTCCAATGGTTCAACGTGTAAATAATCAATCACGAGCAATCAAGGAAATCTCGAACTAAATCTGAAAACCAGGACGTTCAAAAAATCAGGATAAAAAACAAGTATGGAACACTGATGTGCACGATTGCAAAATAAAGCAGCGAAGAAGACTATGTGCTTTGATATTCTACACTTGAAGATTGAGACTGAAAGAAAAAAAAATTGGCGACGATACTGGGAAAGTATAAGTGCATATGAGGACTCGATGTAAGTACGACTGATTCGTTAGCTGTTTCACTTACCATGGGAATTCTAATTGAATTCCAAGTGGATTTGCAAATGAAACGCCAAACGGCCAAGAGCAGTAGTTTAGCGACAGCTGATCGCGTTTCTAGAATATCTTCGCCGATGTCCCTCGAGTCAAGGGAAAACTTTACGATTGCAGAGTTTAATATGAATAATTTGTCATTGACGATACGGATTATTCAACAAGTGGGATCAACGCAAAAATGTCATTATCGGGGGTGAAACTTATTCTCATCTGAAACAAGATGCAAATTATATTAATTGATAATTTAAAAAATTATTTTTTAGCAACTTAATCCTGATTCCGTCCGAAAAACGCAATATTTAAACTATCTGCGTAAAAACTTACAAGAAAAAATTCGGGATAAAAATACTTTGATTAATAAAATACTTTATAACTACTTTATAAATACTTTATAATGTGTACTCTACGATAATCAAAATAATCAATGTATATAAAAAATAATGTTCCTATTGTTCAGTAAAAAACTACAAAAATGGATCTACAAATTTTATCTAAAACTATTAATCAGATTGCAATTGCAGATTGACATTTCAAAATTAAATTATAATTCTTGTGTGATATATCCTTTTTCATACATGCACTCTCTAGATTAATATTTTTAATATAGTATAATATTTTTACACAAATAAAATATAAATTATAATTTTTATTTCTCTCTTTTATACGGGTAGAAGTATGTGAAGAATATGTTATAATTAATTCATAAAATTTTTATAAAATTCATAAAATTTTATACAATATCATTGTAAATTATACAAAACTTAATATGTCTACGATGTTTGCATTTAAAATTAATAAAACTAAAAGAATTTTTTGTTACATTAATAAAAGTATTTTAGAAAAAGTTAATTTTTCTCAGACTTAAGTCAGAGAAAGATTTCTCAATTCTATTAAAAAGGAGCTTTTTAGTAAAGCTTGCTACTTACTTATGTAAATTCGATTTATCGTTTTATCCTGATAAATAGTTTAACCAAAATTACACAAATCAACTAACTAATGACACATGCAGTTTAGTAATAATAATTATATTGCATACGTCAGATTCTTTTTGTTAATTGCTTTTCCCAGAAAGCAGGATTTTCTACGCCCTGAAGACTGGTAAAGCGGGAAATATGTAGAGTATGATGAGATGAAGAGAGAAAGATGGAAGCTTGGTTGCACCGTATTTTGCGACTGCGTCGAATGGACGTGGATCCTCCGTGAACTCCAGATTCCCTTCAGTTTACGCTGCGCACCCGATCTGATATCCCGAATTGATACCCCGTTGCTATACTTTACAAATTCATATTATACTTTCCTCTGTGGCGTGAAACTTTTATCGTGTGTTTGATTAACATTTACTGAAGAGATACTTTCTTTTTAAATAGATACAAAATTTCCGATCTCCAAAATTGAAATTAAAGTATCAGTGCGGAACTTCTTCTTGGAAAGAATCTCTCGATTGCTCAGGTATATGTTACTAAACATTATAAACTAATATTTTATTAAAATTTAACACAGTGATTACGTTCTCTATTTTGTGTATAATTTATAGTATGTATAATTTATACTATGATAGTGATAATTCCTAGTTCGAGTTTGTTAATCTAATTTCTTAATTGTATTTGCAATTGTAATCTCAACGACATAAAATAATAAAATAATTAAAAACAAGAAAATATAGAATAATTGTTGCAGAGACATAATCAAGAAAATCGTGTTTTAATAATAACCGCTAAAACTTAAGTTAGTTTTCTTTCGAAAAAATGCTTTAGTTTTACAAAATGAAAGATTGAAGAAGAAACTTGGAAAGTAAATATATTTTAAAAATTACTTTTTGTTCTTAATATCTAAATTATTGATAAGATATTCGAGCAAACAAGATAACTGCTCCTTAAACGAAATTTTGATTTTACTTAAATTTTAATCATGTTTGTATCAAATGCAAAAAAACTTATAAGATCAACGATAGTGTGAACAGTGCGCTCAAATCGATTTTTTTTTCTTACGTCAGATTATATGATTTTTATAAATTCTTAACAAATTTTTCTAACTTCTAATTTTTTATTTGTGTATGCATGTATATATTTTTACAAGTACGATCTATAATATCATGATACTTTTTGTGGAAATATACCTTATAAGAATTTGATTTTTCTATTGTATTCGTAAGAAACAATATTATACATTTTAATATATACTGCTGTTGCTTTGTTACGTATAATTGTTTTAATTTACTCTCTTAAGTAAATTATAATAAAATATAATTAATAAGGAAATGTCATTATTTGGAGTTAAATTTTCAAATATCCGTTACAATTTAATATAATGCATTTGATGATGTATCTATACAGTGTCAATTTCAAGCTTCCAGTTTTTAATTGCTAGTAAAATATTTCTTAATTGCTACGATTTTAACAGACAAATAAACTTTGCTTAATTATGAATAGCTAAATTAAGTATTGATTGACATTTCGAGTTTATGTATCATTTTCATTATGTTGGTAGACTGAAGATAGAACGAAGTGTGCGATAAGATTATATCAAAATCTGCTACATTTACGGATATTAAAAGCACATAGTTATGTTACGTGTCCGCACGTTTTTTGATATCCGCATTTTTATATTTTTTAACATCGTTTTGATATCGTTTCTATCTCTGATTTTATATACTCGCGTGAGATTTTTGAAATAAGTGTTTGTTTAAGGATATCTGCATATATACGCAATGAAAAAAAAAAAAGAATTCAAATAATGGTTTTGAATTTGTTCAAAATACGTATCATTATTATTATTCTTTACAATTTAATTCGTGCTAATACCCTAGTATGCTCATCTGGATGAAACAATTAATGCAGCAGCGAATTTATTGTCGTTTTAAGTTATAACGATGTAAATAAATAAAGTCTTTGTCTTTTTCTATCAGATAATAATATATATAAAAGGAATTGAAATAAGAAATTGAAAAGAAATTATCCAAATAATTTAAATATTTTTTTTTACTTTCTCGCGCACATAATTTTTCCAATTTTCCAATATTGAACATCTTCATATATAATTGCAGCTTTTGAGAAATTCCTTATTCAAAACAGTACAACAAATATTGTCTCAAATATTGAATTTCTTAATTACTTTTAGAAACAAAACATTATAAGTTTTTTAAAGATTTAGTAACTTAAAATTAGTCATTTATTATATCAAATAATTATTTATTGACTAATTTACTGATTAATTACTTATCAAATAATGCAGAAATATGATAAAATCGTATTCAAATTAAAGCTTTAATTAATTAAACAATTAATTAAAGACTAATAAAGATAAGTATATTAATTTATCTCTAGATTTTCCTGCGCTAGTATATATAGAATGAGGAAAAGTATAAATATTTGCTATAAATACCCACAGGTACGATATCAGTAACTAGTTCAATATTAAGCAACTTTAGTGATGCTTTCAAGTCAGTTGCAACGATCACTAGGTATATGGTGCCTGACAAACAGAAAGTTTCGATAGACCCAAGACAACATAGTTAAATGAATAGTTGCTATCACTGTTTGATACATGCAATTTTCTTTTGATCGTTGTTACGCGAGAGTTTCGATTGTTCTATTACTCTGTTCTACCACTTTCTTTATAGATTCCGCAGCACGTTCTTGCACGTCTCAGCACATTTTGAAACGCAATTTAAAACAAAGGTTTTAACGCTCTTTATTATTAAAAAATCCTCAAAATATCACACGCTTAAATTCTTCAATTGATTTTTAGAAACAAATTAAGAAAAGATAACATGAATTATGAAGAAACATTCAGTTTTTTAAAGATTTAGTATAAATGAAAGATTAGTATCCATAAATAAAAGATTTAGTATAAATTAATAATTAATTACTTATTAAATTAGTTATATCTTTTGATAACAAATGACATTAATTATATAAATAAAATGTGTTATATTTTTAACAGTAAATAATATCATACTTAATAAATATTATTGAGATTGTTAACTTAATTTCTAATTTTTAATACTTAATATTTTAATAATCTCAAAAATATGATTATTTTTTGCTTGCATTTATGACTACGAATTAATCTCGCGAGATTCAGTCAGCGGATTAAGCGCGTTAATTGCGAAGACATTCTCAACACTTTGTTGAATTTTTGTTGCTGCATTTTTCTACTGTACTAGATGGGTCTAGGGGTCACTGGGGTCCTCAGGGAGACCGTAAATATTTAATATTGTTACATTTATTTGGCACTCTTGTGTTATAAAGTGAATTTGAAAAAGAAATAGTAGATATAGTAGCAAAACAGAGAAAGTTGTAAAACAAAAGAGAATGGCATTATGATAAGTGACTTAGGACACTGCTCGAGTGACTTCATACTAGGAGAATTTAGTTTAGGTTTACATAATAGGAACGTGACGTGTAAAGCAAATTCATATTCTGAGACTTCGGTAGGTAGTACACATTAAATGCTGCTCGCTATCTTAACAGAGAATACGTTATTAATGTTATTAATGACAGAGTGTTCTGTTGCATCCTAGAGAATGTATCTAATCTTCTCTCAAATTTCTAACGATACTTAAAGGTAAAGCTATCGACCGGCGGTCATTACAATAAAATATTATAATTTTAGATAAATATGATCTTTAATAATAATTAATACATTCTAATTATAACATGTAGCCAGCGATCCTAATTATCTGCGATTTAATAATGTTATTTGAATTACATTAAAAAATGTGATAAGATATACAAGAAATATCTCTCAATACACTTAAAATTTAATTTTATTTGCAGATTAAATTTTTTTAACACGAAATGGTTTCACTTTGCTTTAAAATTTTAATATTGCTTAATGAAAATAGCTAAAATATTTTTTTAATTATATATGATAATTAATTATTTAAACAAATGTGAGTAAAAGGATATTAGGAAAAGAATGTTTAATCGGGCAATAATAAAACTATTTAATTGGTAATTAATTGCATGATATAAATGTATTTTAAGAAAGTAAAATGTTTTGCGTATTTATATGCGCGTATACCTACAAGAATGAAGAAAATGTATCAAGTAGCATATGGAAATCTCGCGGAATCGAGGTTACGCGGTTTTTTATTGTTCGCAGTTGAGAGTTTGATCCGACTTTGTATTATGAAAATACCGTTGGATTTCTGCTCGTATCATTAGTTTTCATATAATTTCGATTGTAAAGTCTAGAAATAATTGTACGTAATTCCTTCAGAATAGAACGGAGTTCTCTAACATATAAGATGGTTTCTGATAATAGAAAATGAACTTGTGAGCATATATTTATTTATACACATGTATACATCCTTTATTTTCATCATATATATCGTGCTACGGAGGTACTAACTTTTGATTTGTCGCTCTCGTTGCAGATTCAATCTTTGTTTGAGAATGTTTCTTACTAAAATAGAGTTCAGTTTTCTTATTGAAATAATAGAGTTTTTCTTATTATATCTTTATTAGAGTATCACATATTTTTACGCTTTACGTTGTATATCGTTTTGTTGCACAATTTTTCTTCCTGTTACAAATATTTCGTACAAAGTAACAAATTTTAACTGTCAGAGAAATTTTAAAAACATGTCACAGTAAATTTTAAATTGTTGTTTGAAGTGATGCTAATAATATTGCCTGATGTTTGCATATCTTGCTTTGAAACATTATGGAGAACGCAATTAGCTATTTCTTTTATATAGATGCGATTTGCATTTTTTTTAAACGCATTGCATTTATAACGCAACGGATGTCTGCGTATGTAAAATTATTTTTTAAAATACGATTAAAATGCAACCACCGCTTGCATGAGTACATAAATTACGCTGTAATTTGATAATGGAAATTGTCTCGTTGTGCATATGTTTAGCAACTCTTGCAAAATGTATACAAAGCTCCTTCACTAAAGCGCGAATAGTATGCAAATTGAATGATTTGAGAGATTCTCCAGTTGCCAAGTGACTAATGGATAATGGAAAATGCTATTTAAGACCACATATTATTGCATATCAAATTTTTATTCTTTATCAAAAGCGCATGGCATAATCAAGAAGAGGGAAAATGATTTAATTAAATGTAAGGAAAGTCTATTATAATATTATTATATTTGCTATCTTCAATAATATAATGAAACACATACAAAAGAAATTTATATTATATTTACAACATCTTGTGTTTACAAATATGTGCTATACAAATATAATTCGTAAGAAATTATACCATATTGTACTGCGTTCTCTAGGGTGTATAGCCAACTAAACTACAATAGAAAAAGAAGTTATATCGTTGAAAATGGTCTCTTATACCGTTGCTATAAGCGGTTCTCTATTACATTTCTTTTAACTGAGCGACCTTATATGTCCCTACGCAATCTCTGTGCGCACAATCAATATAACGCAACATGTGTGAAAGCTGTTCTTTCATTTCTATCACAACTTTTAGAAATTC